ATTCCTGCGGAGACACACGTATTCTGCAAGAAAAGCAGGAGGATTTTTCCTAGCTGAGTTTAATCAATGCACACACTGCAAAGGATGCATTTACAGAAGCATCCACGCAGCGGGTCGTAACTTCACTCAGATAACTGCCCTGCACTAACAACCTTAATTAATCTCATTTCTCAGCAACAGATTACATAGATGGACTCTTGTAGAATAAACGGGTGTTAATCTGTGCCGTCTCCCTGGGATTTTCCTACGTGACACGCTGGGTTCAGAGGGGTTAAACGACACCCACGAAGGTCGGTGGTGTGTTAGAAATCCCACTGGTTTTCTGATACCTGGTGTCTTAAAGAGTTGACTTGATTTGATAAAGAGTTGGAGATTTCTTAAGTGGTTTTCTCCTGAACCCGGCTGACATGCCACGACTGCAGAGAATTAAATGACGAGCCTGTTTTCTTGTTGTTCAGTGATAGCTGCGGGAAGCCCTTGGAGATTACGCTTTGGAAGAAGCGGCTGGTGGGGTTAAGACACTGATGAATTCAGGTCAGGGGAGCAGAGGAAACCCAGATCCACCTGCAACTGCTGGCTCGGCACTGCTCGTCCTCCTGGAGAGCAAAATCCCTTTCATTTCTAGCTTTGTGTTGCTGCTCACAACGAGCTAGCTTTGCCGATCAGAGACGCATTTCTCTTCTGACTGCAGTTGTAGTTGAAAACAGCTTTACTGTTCGCACAGGAGGGCACCTGGCTGCCAGCGCAAAGCATGAAATCCCCTCTTCTTCAGCCCTTGGTGAGAAAAAGGAGGCAGGGACACGCCACTCCTCTCTCGTGACACCAGCTCGTAGGTAGGAACTGAGCTCCTCTCAGCGAAAAAGAAAAGAGGGGGTTTATTGTATTAAAGCTTTGTGGGGAGTTTATTGCAAACTTGAAAGTTTTTTAAGAAGAGAATAAAGGCAGCACGATGCTTTGCTTCCCGCTGGCAGGGATCCTCAGAAACATCTCAGCCCGCTCGTGACCCCATGGTATAAGCAAAAAGGAGAGCAAACCCGTCTGGGCGTGCTGGGGGGGAAACAAGCTGTGTGTCTCTGCCCACCCGTGGGGATACACAACTGCTTTAACGCAGGCGATCGATCAGCACAGCCGCTGTGATTCCAGGCGTGTTTTGCTGCTGAATTAGTAAGCCGCGGGGGGTGGGAAAGATGCTTCTCTCCCCAAAATGTGCCTTGCTGGCGCCTGGCAGCAGCTTTCAGGGCTGCGGGGATTTACCCCCCGTGGGAGGGAACCAGACTCGTCGCTAAGCTAAACGGCGAGCAGTGCTTAGCGTGCAGGGAAGCTGCTCCCGATTTTCTCTGGATTAACAGCAGCGTGGTTTTCCCTTGTCTATTTTTGTTTTAAGGGAATCTAGGTTATGGCTTTCTTGTACGTCGTAGCTACTCAGTTGTGTTTTGGGAGGGAACACGGTACATATTTAGTCCCAGAGGATGTCTAACATTGTCTTGTACATGAAGAATTTGGGGCGTGTGAAAAGGAGCAGTTTTGGTACAGAAAATGATGCTTAATGATGGTGCCTGGGTGGGACATCTTGTTTTGGTGGTATTTCTTTTGCCCAAGCGTGGAGCTGGAGGTATTTATGTTTCTGCAGAGAAAGCTGGGAGGAGGATGCTGCACATGGTGCCAGTTGCTGAAAAGCCACTAAAGACAGCAGAGATGATCAGGGTGACGATGGGCAGGGCCGGGCTGAGCTCTCAAAGGGATTCATGCCCTGTTCTCCATCAGCATCAGAAACCATCGAGTTTTCCCAGGTGATTTCTTGTGGCAGAGACATCATAAATGCCGTGCGCAGAGGGCTGTCCTCTGTGTTGCTTTAAGGACAGAAATAAAGTTAAGAGCATCTTTCAATCCCCAAAATTAATTTAAAGAGTATCGCCACTTAACTACACAGCAGAGGAAAAGCAAAGCTTGTCCTGCCCACGTCTCCGCATAAGAATGGCCAACAGCAGAGATGTTGTGGAGGGTGTTTCCCATGCACATCCCGTGAATCACCAAGACGTGACCTGCGAAGAGAGCGTTTGGTCGGGGCCAGGCAGCATCACGAGGCCGAGGCTGCTCAGCACCCGCTGCCGGGCAGCCCCAGGGCAA